TATCTGGTATTCTACAAGGATCCTGAATTTAATCATTCAAGCTGGTATGTGCACTGTTCCCTTGCAGACAGCAGATCTGGCATTATTGTGAGGCTGTGTCTACATTGCATGCTTCTTGCACAAGAACAGTCGTTCTTGTGCAAAAACTTGCTGGCTGTTTACACTGCACACATGTTCTTGTGCAAGTAAATTTACAGTATAGCGCCAGAAAACAGGGCTTCTTTCGGAAGAGTTATTCCTCTCCCCACAAGGAATAAGCCCTCTTGCACAAGAGCTCTTCCACAAGATGATAGTGTAGACAGGCAACATGAATTTCTTGTGCAAGAAGCCCCTATGGTTAAAATGCCATCAGAGTTTTCTTGCGGAAGAGAGCATCCACACTGCTATGGATGCTCTTGCGCAAAAGCACGTCTTCCACAAAAGCACATGGCAGTGTGGACGTGCTCTTGCACAAAACAGTTCTTGCACAAAAAGCCTGCAGTGTAGACATAGCCTGAGCGATTAGTGAATCAGGGATTGGTCATTACAGAGGGATGCTTCCAGAGGACTAAGGGACCAAGGTGTACTTATTTGCTAATCAAAGACAGGAGTGGCAGAGTCTAAAGGTGATCGTTTGGGTGGCTAACACCAAATTAAGCTCAAGCAAGTCTTCCTCTTGCAGAAGGCAGTGTGTAATAAGGAGATGTGCAATCCTAGGTACATTGAAAATCACCACAGTCTGTTCCTTTCTTCCGCCAAATCTCAGGTTTCTTCCAATTAATAATTCTGCAGCTACTATGATATACAGTGGCAACCCTACATCAACACCACTGACTAGAGCCAACCCCACACAATCAGAAATCATAAGCCAGCTCTTCAAAAACTATGAAACCATCCTAAAATCATGACATTTTAAAAACAGGCCTTCTGAAATAATAATGTAACTTCAGGAACTGGGGCTTTAAGAAAACTACCAAATATTGTGAGACTTGTGATAAAATCACCAGACCTGGTAATCCTACTTCATATTTTTCAGTTTGCCTCCAATTCCCACTTCACAAACTCTGAATCATCTACCTCTGCTGCATCAAATCCAGGAGCAACAGACTCTACATCACATGTCAGCACTGCCAAAGCAACTGGCAGCCTCGTGTTCATATATCAGTTTCATAAAGGTGTGGGCTGGATTTCAGCATCAACCAGACCACATGTGTTCTTGGGTCTGGCTTTTGACAGCTGCGGTTAAAATAAAGGCAAGAAATGTAAAATGTGACTTTAATGTTTAACAAACCAACAAAGCCACAAGATGACTCCTGGACTGTGAGCATTAAAAGTCTCAGAGGCTTATTGTACAGCCACGTGTTAAGAAACTATTCTTACATGTTTAATTGTTGACAATCAGAATCTTTCCCCGGAGCTTGAGCTGTAGTTATTCTTCCCTGTGAATCAGAGTTAAAGCTTTGTTTCAGCATCGTTGTAGGGCTACAAAGGGAGACCTGCCAGATCTGAGGCATACAGCCAACGTCCTGACCACTTGTGAAATGACACTTGTTGCCAAGAGTACAGCTGTTAACTCATGTATTCTGATCAAATTTCAAAACAAGTAATTACATTTTATTTACCTAAATCCCTGCTCTAGTTTCAACGTGGCACTGTATTTTTTCATTTCCTGTCCTAACCTGTTAAGATAAATGTAGTCCATCTCAGAGAAGGATACATTGCAAAAGGTACTAAATTTCCTTTCCTACTGGTGCTAATTTAGGTCACACCTCAGTAAAATCAATATAGGGTCTGCTAGTTTCAAAGTTGTGTGAGAAATACTTGAAGCATAAAGATTTCAAGTCTGACATGACATAAAATTATAAAGTAATTAGGAATATAAGAACAATTTATTCTTGAATATTAATATGCATTTAAAGTCATATATTTAATATTATTTTGTATATATTCATGTGAGGCATTATTTTAGGGGAAATGCTTGTTCAAAGACATTAAATTGTAAGCAATAGGCCTGTTAGATTTTATGCTTTACTCCTAATTAATTCTAGAATAAATATGACTTATTATCTAACTACTATTATCAAAGAGAAAACTTGATGAACCAAAGACAGTAACCTCATAATGAGCCTACTAAAGAAGCACTAGTTTTAATTATTTATGGAAGCATTTTTTACTTTTGCAGGCTAAAAAAACTAATGAAAAATGATGCACGACTGTTAAAAGTTCATCTTAAAATCCAATACATTAAATCTTGGAACTAGCAGGGTGGACAGTGAAATAGAAATAACTTCTATTAAGACTGGTAAAAAAAGATTATTCAAACCTACTTGTGTCCTTATATTATATCCAACATGCACATACCTACACATATACAAGGTACAAGATGAGAGAGATCTTTAGTCATGTTACACATAGTCTTTCTTCAAAAGCTTAATGCAATTACTTAGCTAATTCTCCACTGAATTTGTGGGACGGAAGAAAAGTTGTATATCTAGAATATATACTATGGACGGTATTCCACTAGAGTGATGAAACCTTAAGGGTACAGATGACAAATAATTGCTACATAGCATAGTAAGTTTTAAAGTGAACATGTCAAAACAAAAATATAGAGGCTATGTCTACACTGCAGGCTTCATGTGCAAGAACTTTTTACGCAAGAGTTCTTGCGCAAGAGTTCTTGAGCAAGAGCGCGTCCACACTGCCATGTGCTTTTGCTCAAGAGCGTCCATGGCAGTGTGGATGCTCTCTTGCGCAAGAAAGTGCTAATGGCCATTTTAGCCATAGGGGTTTGTTGTGCAAGAAACCTCTGTTTCTGTCCACACTAGCCTTTTTGCGCAAGAGCTCTTACACAAGAAGACTTATTCCTTGTGGGGAGAGGAATAACTCTTGCACAAAAAGCCCTCTCTTCTGACGACTACTGTAAACTTTCTTGTGCAAGAACAGGCTTGTAGTATGAACGCTCCGCAAATTTTTGCACAAGAACAACCGTTCCTGTGCAAGAAGCCTGCAGTGTACACATAGCCAGAGTGTACTTATAATCAGCAAAGTGTGTGTAAAGTGGTCTTTAGGCAGTTCAGTATTTCCTCCCTCTCAATGGCTGCCAGTTCTTCTTTTCTCAACTTATAATTAAAGATTTTTTTTCCTAACTGCTAGCTCTGCAAATTCTATGTGGGAAAATTTCAGACAAGCACTTTTGTGCTCTCTCACATGCTGCTCCTCAGGCATGTGAGAAATGCCCTGTAAACATTCAGAAAATAAACTCCTTTTCCTCCTCTGCCAGGAGGCTTAAAAAACTTGAAATTCGATAGGTTGCTAGTGTGCTGACACCACAATCTATCATTCATAATGATACTGTCTGAATTGTTTCCTTATACGTTCCCCTCCTCAATCTGTTTGTATCCATTTGTTGACTCTTGTCTTATACTTAGATTGTAAGCTGTTTGGGGCAGGCACCTTTTGTTCTATCTTGGTTCAGAGAGTAGCACAATAGAGTCCTAAGTGATACAATAATACAAATAATAAATAATAAAATCAAATGATTCTTTCTACCATTGACAATATCATCATCAATAAAGATTTTATCATGAGAACTAAATAGAGATGCACTTAAAAAGATGAACAAGGTACAATTCAATCCAGCTCATTTTCCCATAGAGATAAATAGCTCTGGTTTTCCAACAAGCTTAATTTATCCCATTCCTGATTTTCACTCTAATGTATTCAAAAGTGGAATTCCCCAAAACAATGATATTGGTTGCTGTCTGAATCTCAGACAAACTGTTCCTTTGATGCACTTTGGCCGTCATTTAATCTTAACCCAGTCAGTATTGTGTGTAAACTCTGCAGACAGAAGCAAAAAAACAAAAATAAATAATATTAAAAGATGCTGTAAATGATATATTACTAGACAAAAGACAGAAAAATGGCCACAGTGCATTTATGATATAGCCACAACAGTATGGCTTTGTCTACACTGCAGGGTTTTTGAGCAAGAAGCTTTTTGCGGAAGAGATCTTCCGCAAACACTTCTTGCGCAAAAGCGTGTCCACACCTCAAAAGCACATAGCAAAAGCCATGTGTTTTTGTGTAAGAGAGCGCCCACACTGCAAGGACGCTCTTGCACAAGAAAGCTCTAATTGACATTAACAGAATGGCCATCAGATCACCTGTGCTTTCTCTGATAGGCTCTTTTGGCACAAGAAACCACTGCGGAACGTCCACATATGCCTTTTTGTGCAAGAGCTATAGCGCAAAAAGGCGTTATTCCTCATGGGGAGAGGAATAACTCTACTGGCAAAAGCCCTCTGTCCTGTCGATTTACTATTTGGGTTCTTTTGCATAAAAACGCACTGGAGGTGTAGACACTCCACTGGTTTTTGCACAAAATGACTGGTTTTGCCCAAAAAGCTTGTAGTGTATACATAGTCTGTGTGTATTAATAAAGTAACTAGTAAATGGCTCTGGAGTGAAATATGAGGCAAGATCTTTCAGCCACCTGAGAAGTGCATCTATTCATGCACATGCTGGAGTGGCTTATGTATGACTACTTCATTTTATATTTCAATATTTTAAAAGACTTTTTAAAAATCTAAATTTCCAGCCTACAGGCTGAAATCCATTCATATACCAGCATAACTTGATAATTTCCACAGGTGTATCATGTATGTACAAGATCATTAGAGACAGTGGATTTTCAGTTATCCTAGGGGAAAAAATAGCTGTATATAAACAGAAAAAAGTACATGCAAAATCAGACAAGTTTTGCAAGGCCCCCCACCCCATAATAGCTCAGGAGGTTCACACAATCTCCAGTGATACTGGATTCACCTATCCCTACATATGTACCTAATGCACAGAAAATATTATAAACTGAATCTATATGATCTTCATCTGAACCAAATATGGATAAAAGATTATCATACAATTTATTTCTGATCCAGATACAAGTTCTGACCATGAGCAGTATACATGTAAAAACAGTAGTTTTTGTAAGATGCAGGTTGTACATTTTTCATTACCTTTCTGCGCCATGAGGCAAAACTCTTCTTGGAGTTTGATGTACTCCATGGAACATTCCAAGGGGTCAGCTACCTGGCTTGGAGGAGTCTGAAATTCAACGTCTGCACAAAGATTGGGGTTGGATGAGTGGAGGCGAACTGGTGACATTGTAGCACTGAAAGGGACCTACAGTGAGATTCAACAAAGAAAACAGCTACTGTATAGAACTATATCCACTTTCACAGAATGCACAGAACAAAAACACCACACACTTTATTCATAGAACAAAACACTAGTTTCACTGTGAGCGATTTAAAAAAAATATGAGAACATATATCTTTTGGAGCCTCAAGTTTCAGTAGCTATACAAAATTCCCTGGGTCTCTTTAAATCCTTCAGTGAAACAGACAAGTGACACAGGGAAGGAGAGAGGGGTGATAGCTAAGGCGAGAGAGAAAGATGCACTTTAGCTCTAATTATACAATTTACCCTAACATAGCATTTCATAAGATTTGGCAGAAATTGGAAAATTAAACCATTAATGTTGCTTTATATTCTAACCGTTAGTAACCTATAAAGTATAATTTGATGGCCACAATATCAACATTTTAAATATATTGGTATCTCCATCAATCTGGAAATGTAGCTAAATATTCCCGCACAGAATATTATTTGCAGACTTTGAAGAGTGTTGTTAAACCCAGAGATTATTATTCAGTTCACTGAAATTTACTGTATAGTTCATCTGCATGTCACATCTCTCTATTAAAAAAAACTTTTTCCTGTAGGACAATAGAGCGACATAATCACATCACTCTGATATCCCATAGCCCCTCCCCTCTGCCCTCAGACCCTCCCTCCACCCTCAGCCTGCCTCCTCCTGCCCTTCCCAGTAGTCTGACAGCGAGCAAGGCAGCCTCCCCTCTCCCCCTCTCCTAGAGGGCTGGGAACCGGGCACCCTCCCACCTCGGGGGAGGGGGCGCGGAGCCACAAGCTGCATGGCCTTTCCCCCTCATCGGGAGTGGGGAGAGAGGATGGAATGGTGAGCCGCATGCCTTCCCCCTTCATCAGACGGCGGGACCCGGACCGGGGGGGGGGGGGGGGGGGGCCGACGCGGGGCG